AATATAATCATTACTTATTAAGGATACAAATCCCAAAATATACTGTAATATACTACAATGTGAAAATGTGCGGCTAAGCAAATTTTTACATTTATTTCTTTCTTTTTTCAGTATTGCATTGTATTCTATTTTATGATGTTTGCATTGTATTTTATTATATCATTTTTCTTTTATAATTCTTCAGCATTTTCTTATAATAATTAAAAAATATGAAATATTGAAATATAAAATATGAAATATGAAATTTTACAAAATGCATACAAAGCAACGGTCTCTACTCGCATATGCTATTTCCTATGTCAATAATATCACAGAAAGTGACTCGATAATTCAACAAAAGGAAAAATAGAGTAAAGAGATAATTGTTACAACATACCGATGAATCGTTGCAACAACGGTTCGTCCAATGATTCACATATGGCACTCCCGATATCCGATAAACAATTCGTACATCACGATTAGAGTTAAACCTTACTCGGAAGGTTCTAGATTTATACGTTTTCGATAGAGACTTTGCTTTCAGACATAATTAAAAAATTATTTTGAATACTGCTTTCGGGAGTTGTTAAGAAAAAGGTTGGAATCTTGATAGTTTCAACGCCCACCTGAGGACGGCAACGTTGGCGCTGAGCGACAACGCGTACGATGGACAAACGATCGATGTTAATCAATGTTGCGAGCGCGAATATTAATTAACGTATCGTCATGACTCGACTTCCGTTTGTCGGCACGCGCCAGATCGTGGTATGTGTGTTTTTTTTTTATATTATTTACGAGATACCGAAACCAAACGCAGAATGATTTCGCTTCGCGACTCCAAACCGAGAATTCGCCGCGAGAACATCCGCGCATGCGCGTGCACTTCTTTATTAAGGCGCGTTCAAAAATACTACCCGAATATCTCCGAACATCATTTTTATTGTTATTTAACATTCAATTTAACAATGAATGAAATGATCCTCGAAAACACTCGAATAATATTTTCGAATGCCGATTTTTATTCTTTATTGCAATAAATTATCCGATCCATTTAATAATAGACCGTTCGTGTAATAGCGACAGTATTATGTTTAAACATAATTTTATACAGTTATATTATAATATTTAATTATATTATAATTTTTATTTATTGCACAATTTATTTTTAATACGAAGATAAAAACATGAATTGAATTTCAAACCAGCTACGCTTGACATGAAATCAACTGATGCATTTGCGCATGCGCATGGTATATTTAAGAGACCGTGAAATATAAAAAAAATTTAGAAGAAATCATAGCGTATAAAAAAAGTAAATCAAGGGATCATTTATATATTTTGGGTTCGAATATGTCTTGAAATAAATTAAAAATTACAACAGTGAGCAAAATTACTAAAATATTTATAATTTCTAGTGAATTTTTTTTTCACTTTTATAATTTTTATGTTTCGAGATCGATTGTATATTTTAAAATGAAATGGAAATTATGAAAGTGAGCAAACTCACTGAATAATGACCAATAAAATTGTAAATATTCTAGTAAATTTTCTCACTTTTGTAATTTTTATTTTTTTAAGATACATAACCGATTTCCTGTGTGGTAAGCTAATTATAATTGCATGTGCTTATCGTACATTTAAACTATTAAAATATAAAATTAAAGTAAAAAATATTGAAAGATAAAAAATATATACTATTTGAATTAAAACCTACGAGATTTATTTTGCGTATTTTTAAATAAGACTAAGGATAGTAAAATATACTCTTTGACAATTTTAATACGTTTTATTACAATATTATTTATGTATTATATTTATATGTATTATATCTATATCTATGTAAACTCTGTATTAAATTTATCGACAGTTGTGTTTATCGATTATATTTCGAGATTCATTTCTATTTAGCTTCTAAGATGGCGTATGTGTAACCTCATCTTACTACGGTCACTACTCATTCCATCACTTTTTCCACGCATTTTCTGTACTGTACTGTTCAGTATTGTTTTTAGGTTATTTTATATTGAGAATTATTTTATATATTTCCTGATGAAATTATATCATAAATATATAATACTTGAATTTTGAAATTATATATCGCGCGTTTCAACTAATTACTCCAATGGATGTGAAAACTATATTCTCATGATACAACGCTTTTTCTTCACGCCTAGCTATTTAGGTTAGTACAATTTTTCAAAACATTAATTTTTTATTTTTAATGATTAAAAATTATATCTTTTCGAAATTTTAATGATCTATTCGTTGTATTCTATTTTATAAGTATTTCAATGAAATGCAATATAGATCCTGTCAAATCTTGTTTATTCAATAGCAGTTCTTGTCAAAATGTGATTCGTTTATTTTCAGGAGATATTTTACTGAGATCCGGCTAAATATATCAAAAGAGAAATGTCAGACGATTCAAGCTTGTATAGATTAGAGGGATCTGTAGGAAATGAAGGGGGTGGTCTGGTCATACGTAAGAAAACATCGGATCATACTTTCAAGAAACCTTCTATATTAGGTCTTGACAAGCTTGCAGAACGAAAAAGAAGAGAGCAATCGCAGGAGCCTACCAGCTCTAAGTCTAACAAATCCGAAGGAAAGGACAGAAGATATCGATCTTATGAAGAAGAAACTCCTACTCATACTGGAGGTGTCAATTCTGAAGCGCAACAAAGATTAGAGTCCAGACTCAAGCGTCAGCGATTAAGTGCAGATGATAGAAACTCTAAAAATTCATATAAAAGTCGCGAGAGAGACAGAGACAGGCGAAGGGATCGAGATAGGGAAAGTCGAGGCAGAGATAGTAGTATAAGACAAACGCCTCTTAGATTCAGGGATGAACCCCAAACGCCGAAATTTCGGACGAAAGATCCGACTTCTAAGAGCAATTGGGACGACGACGAGGACGAAGAGCCAAAACGATCCAGCTGGGATCATCCGACACCGAATCTGTACACTAACAGAGATAGTCGCGATAGTGTCAGAAGCGAATTTACTCCTTCCTATAAATACAACTCATGGAACAAAGATTTTAAGAGTTCCGGTGCCACTCCGATGATAGACGGAGAGGAGAAGGAAATGTGGGAAGAGGAACAGCAACGACTAGACAGAGAATGGTATGCATTAGACGATGGAGAGAATAACGCTTTCGCTAATGTATCCGAAGAATATACACGGAAGAAGGAAATGGAGTTGGAGGCCAGGAGACAGAAACGCCTTTCCGCTCAGCAAAGACAAATAAATAAGGACAATGAATTATGGGAGCGTAACCGTATGTTAACGTCCGGAGTTGTGAGCTCGTTAGATCATGACGACGATCCTGATGACGAAGGAGAGGCAAGAGTTCACTTGCTGGTTCATAACGTAGTCCCGCCGTTTTTGGATGGACGTATCGTGTTCACGAAGCAACCGGAACCGGTTGTACCTGTGCGTGATCCCACTTCTGACATGGCTCTGGTAGCAAGGAAAGGTTCGGCACTAGTCAAAGCATACCGTGAGCAAAAAGAAAGGCGTAGAGCTCAAAAAAAGCATTGGGAACTGGCAGGAACACACATCGGTAATATTATGGGTGTACACGATCGGCGTAAAGACGATAAAGAGCATGCAGGGCAAGAAACAGATTTTAAAGCTGGGCAAAAATATGCCCGACACATAGGGTCGGGCGAAGTAACGGGGGAAGCTAAGTACAAATCTATACAGCATCAAAGAAGGAGTCTTCCTGTATTCGCAGTACGTCAAGAACTGCTTAATGTTATCAGGGAGAACAGCGTTGTTGTAATAGTAGGCGAAACTGGTAGCGGCAAAACCACGCAATTAACGCAGTATCTTCACGAGGATGGTTACAGTCGCTACGGTATAATTGGTTGTACTCAGCCAAGACGAGTCGCTGCTATGTCCGTCGCGAAAAGAGTATCCGACGAGATGGCTACTGCTCTAGGCGACAAAGTTGGATATGCAATACGTTTCGAAGATTGTACATCGAAAGATGTGAGTAATAATAATTTAAATATAATTTTAATACCAAATTAGTGTAACTTTAGCCTAAAGTTTGATAATGTCCAAACAGCATGTTTTAAAACGTCTTATGTTTGGACATCAGCATATTTTTTATTTGAATCAAAGTTATAAATTTTATCTTCATTATATATTTTGTCATAAGATTTCTATATATTTTGACGCATAATATATAAATTTTATTTTTACAGACGGTCATTAAGTATATGACCGATGGTATTTTACTGAGAGAAAGTTTGAGAGAAGGAGATCTGGATCGTTACAGCGTGATTATAATGGACGAAGCTCACGAACGATCACTTTCCACCGACGTATTGTTTGGTCTTCTTAGAGAAGTATATAGTTCGCGTTTTTTATCTTATTATTTCAACATTTATCATATTATACAGTCTTCTTAATTTAGAAATGTTTATAGGTTGTCGCTAGACGGCATGATCTAAAGTTAATCGTCACTTCCGCAACAATGGATTGCAGCAAATTCTCCGCTTTCTTCGGTAACGCGGCAACATTCCAAATACCTGGACGTACGTTCCCCGTCGAAGTATTGCACGCGAAGAATCCAGTCGAAGATTACGTGGACGCGGCTGTAAAACAAGTTTTGCAAATTCATTTGCAGCCCAAAAGCGGTGACGTATTGGTCTTTATGCCCGGTCAAGAGGACATCGAAGTCACTTGCGAAGCTCTGAAAGAACGCTTAGCTGAAATCGAATCGGCTCCGCCACTTTCTATACTGCCCATTTATTCCCAACTGCCATCGGACTTGCAGGCAAAGATCTTTCAACGATCCGAGGGAGGTCTACGTAAATGTGTCGTTGCGACCAATATAGCGGAAACGTCGCTGACGGTCGATGGAATTGTTTTCGTTGTTGATTCAGGATACTGTAAATTAAAAGTGTACAATCCTCGAATAGGTATGGACGCTCTGCAGGTATATCCTGTGTCCAGAGCCAATGCCGATCAAAGGCAGGGCAGAGCTGGTCGTACCGGTCCTGGTCAATGCTACAGATTGTACACGCGACGACAATACTTGGATGAATTATTACTAACAGGAGTTCCCGAGATACAACGTACCAATTTAGCTAATACAGTATTACTACTGAAATCATTAGGAGTTCAAGACTTATTGGCGTTTCATTTCATGGATCCACCACCACAAGATAATATATTGAATTCATTGTATCAATTGTGGATCTTGGGGGCGCTTGATCATACCGGACGCTTGACCCCACTAGGACGACAAATGGCAGAGTTTCCCTTGGATCCACCACAATGCCAAATGCTCATAGTTGCTTCTCAACTTGGCTGTACTGCGGATATCCTTATTATCGTTTCGATGCTGTCGGTTCCATCGATCTTCTACCGACCAAAAGGTCGCGAAGAAGATTCAGATTCAGCACGCGAGAAGTTTCAGGTACCAGAATCAGATCATTTGACATATTTAAATGTATACAATCAGTGGAAGGCAAACGGTTATTCGAGTTCCTGGTGTAACGACCATTTTATACATGCGAAGGCTATGCGCAAGGTGCGGGAGGTACGATCGCAGCTCGAAGAAATTCTGAAGCAACAGAAGATGGATGTCGTTAGTTGCGGCACTGACTGGGATATCGTACGAAAATGTATCTGCTCTGCCTACTTTCATCAGGCAGCGCGTTTGAAAGGCATTGGTGAATACGTCAATTGCCGTACTGGAATGCCTTGTCATCTTCATCCCACTTCCGCGCTGTTCGGCATGGGCTTCACACCTGATTACGTCGTATACCACGAACTCGTGATGACCGCCAAAGAATACATGCAATGTGTCACTGCGGTGGATGGTCACTGGTTGGCTGAATTAGGCCCAATGTTCTTCAGTGTGAAGGAGACTGGTCGAAGTGGCCGTGCGAAACGACGACAAGCAATGCAACATCTCCATGAGATGGAGCATCAAATGAAGGAGGCCGAGGAGGAAATGAAAGCTCGTGCTCAAGAGCAACTTGAGCGAGAACAAGCGTCAGTTCGAAAGAAAGAGATTTTAACCCCTGGTATTAGGGAACCGGGTACTCCTGCCCCGTATCGTAACACGCCCGGAAGATTAGGATTGTAATCAGTTTTTCTACAATGTGTTGAGTTAATCCTATTTAATAGATAAAACATGCATTTTTTAATATAGTTCTGTAGTACAGAAATTATTATTGTATAAAATAATATGATGACAAAAAATAGACATAATTTGATGATTTGACAATTCTTCACTGTGGCTACAGCGTCAGTGATAAAATTTTTAATCTTAATGATCCCTGGATTTCTTTTATTGAATTTCCATCTTTCTTGCAGCACAAACAATACAATAATTACAATGTACATTTACATTATAATCTTTACACACTTTCAGATTAAGTAATAATTTAGTCTGTGACTTCAAAAATAATAAATATAGATAACAATTTAATTTTTTTTAGATAATTATTAATATTGTACAAAGTTTTATGTGTATAAAATATCATTAGATGTGATATGTATAATATCTTTTGTAAATAAAATTATTTTTATTGTAATATTGACAAAATGTTTTTTGTCATACTTACAGCCATTTATTCGTGGCCATTGGTACTTATACATATATAATGGGCCGTTAGAAAGAACATTGGTATATAATAGTATATACCGATGATTGATTACATCACTAATGTGCACATTAATAAGTACGTATAAAAAATTTACGTATTAGGTGTGGGAAAAAGTTCGTGGCGTTTTTTTTAATGCCATCTAATGGGAAAAACGCCACAAATTTTTTCCCACATCTAATATGTTTATTAACGTATACATTAATCATACAATCAATAGTATATCAATCTTTTATTTTAACTGTGAATTATGCAGATAAAATAAATTTGTAACCCTGCTGCACTCTTATTAGCAATTTATTCCTTTCCAGTAAGCAGTTTATCATTTTTTTAAACCAATTTTTATCGGATTATTTAACAATTATCGATTACTTAATAATAAATTTATTAATATATAGAATTGTGAAAGAACCAATATATATGTCACAGATTGTCACAAAATATAATTCAATGCTATTCATAAGCATATTATTCCTTAAAATTCTATGAAAATAGTTCATAAAATATACGACGTTGATCCATGCGCGAACCGACAGACTTTTTGCAATATATAATATATAAAATAAATTCATTTTAATGAAAAAAAATGGCACATAACTATAAATAGATAGACCATGTTTTAAATCGATAAAATATCTTCTTTAGTTCTGAAAATTTTAAAAATCACAGAAATATTGTTTTAATTTTTACATTTGTTCCTTGATTTAAAAGAATGTGTTAGTTGTAAGCTGATCAAATGGCAGTGTATTCAAATGACTGCACAGTATTTTTCATAAAAATGAAAGTAGGCTCAGATATTTTAAACAGCATTAAATCATTCATTCATTATTTATAATTGAATTGGGACTAAGAATTATGTACAGAACTCTCAAGTCATTTTTTGAAAATTATGAAAAGTAGACGGATATAATTGTTCTTTGTACAAATATACTGTCGAATAATTTCAGCTCTTTAAATTGCTTAAAAGCCTTAATATGGGCTGAGTGCGAGATTTGAGGGCTCTGCAACTTTGGCGGAGACTCGCTTGTCCGCGTTTCATAATGGTGACACATACATCATCATTCTCATCCAATCCTGTGTATAACTCATATTTTTCAAATTCAGTTAGAACCGCATCTAAATTTTCGACTCTCTCTGACAGTAACACAGCTACTTCTCGCCAAACCTGTAATACAATAAATAATTGCTATAAAAATTATAATTATAATTATAAAATATATTAAAGTTTCAAAAATATATATAAAATTAATATTTTATAAAGCACACAATATAACAAAAATAATTATTTGTTATACCCTCTTCACAGTTCTATACATATAAAACATCGCGATTATCAATATAAAAAATTTACCTTGGTCTCATTGGTCTCATTTATCATATTTGATTCGATTTTTTTATTATATTTCTTCTTATTTTTCTTTTGTGATTGTGCGCGTGGCTCCGATTGTATCGCGTATATACTGCATATAGCACTAATAATCGCTAAAGATTCGCTACAAGTTGAAGCTCTGAGTAAGAAGTTTTTAAAAGATACTGGTGTATCTCGTTCAGGAATAGGTAATGTCTGTAAGCAAGGAGTCGTTCGTAGCATTTGTATACAATCCAAGTCCGGACAATGAGAGTGAGAAAGTGATTTTGCAAGGCACGCTATAGTCCTTAATTGCTCAGAATGATAAGCTTCGCGTAATCTTTCTACAGCATCAAATGGAACCAATATTTTGCACGGTCTGGTCCGTTTTCCATCTGTGCCAAATTTTTGTAATATATTCGGTATAGTTTCTTCTGCTAATTCTTTAAGCTCGGCAGATATTTGAGAAAGATAAATAGATGATGATCCGGCACTCGCTGCTAAAATGCGCAATATGGCATTTCTCGCCAAAAGTAATTTTAACATACATATGCGTGTCTCTTCCTGCATTCTCGGATCATCCTCGTTCTGATTAATTGGTTCCCATCCACGAACAACCTATTAACATTATTATTAAATTTATCACAAATATTAAATAAGAACTTTACATTTCTTCGAATTATATCGCGATTCATACCTCCAAATCACGATTATCTCGCAAAGATGCCAATCTAATCGAATCGAGATGAGGTTGTATGCATGGCATATGCATATGTATATTCAACGTAGAGAACAAAGAAGCAGTACTGTCAGCCCAACACAAATCGAGGAGCATTTTATCTACAGTTGTCATAACAAAATGAAATGAATTTTCTAGGCGTTCCCTTAACTCCACAAAATCTTGAATTTTTATAAAACTTCCATATTTGTACGCAAGTGTTAAGTGATCCGCACTCTACGAAAATAATTATAAAATCTATGAAATAGACACAAAAACTTTATTCATTTTCCTTAAATCTTATAAGTATACTTGAAAACACATACATCCTTATAGTTGGCTATGAAAAATTTCGCTGTATGATCAAGAGTTGTGGAGGCCAGAGGCAAGTTACCGAGAGGCGCGAGAAGCGGCGCATGAAGATAACCTAGTGAATCTAATTGAAGATGTTTTACATCAAGTGATGTAAATGCATGATCAGCTGCAACCACTAAACCAGCTTCCAAGTAAATACGCACAAGTAAAATTTTGATGTGAAAATTTACAGGACTCGACTGAAGACCATGTTCCAATAATGACATTGCCCTGTAAGTCCATTGTTTTAAAAATGTGCATGTTTTCAAAATGCCATTAGCATTTTTTCATTAATATTAATTCATTTTGTTGTCATATATAATGGAAAAAAATTATATTACCTATAAAGAAAAGACGCATCATTAGTATCAACCCATAATTGATGTAATAAATGCGTAGCTAATAGAATGTATGGATCTGCCGGACAAAAATCAGTTGGCAATCTATCTTGCATTGGACACAATTCATTGCCTTTCTCATACAAATCGCATAATCGCTTTATCAATTGTTCTTGTTTATCTCTATCTGCCAAAGGAGGATGATGGAAGCCACAAATACGCCGTAATTGCTCCAAATGAATATGCCTCTGCATTTGTTGTACTGTAGTTGGAAACTCGTTTGGTGCAATACCAATATCTTCCTCAATCTGCAATATGGTAAATAATATTGCATTAAACAATTGCAATAATCATTTTATTAATGTTAATGAAATAAAAAATATATTTGTTAAATGTCTTAATTTGTTTTATATTTAAACTAACATAAATATTACAATTTAAGATTAATTTTTTATTTTATTTTTATTATATACATTTAAAAAATATATACATATGTATAAAAGTATGTTGGATTCTATTCTTTTTACCTTTTCAAATAATTCGAATTTGGACTTGGGTGTGAGTAGATTTAAATACAATCGTAAATCTCCAACTACACATCCTTTTTCTCCAAATTGAGAAAAATATTGATGCATAAAATTCATAGAAGTCATACTACATTGTAGATCCTCAGTCTGACATCTCTTCAATAATTCTAAGCGGGCCAAGTATGGGGCGCGAATTTTTTTCTCGGACATATTAATAATATGATTGAAAAAATCCAAACATTCTGTCAGACGTTGAAACTTTAAGGCCGCCGAAAGATAATTTTGATAAAAAGCCCAATTGTCGATGCTATGTAATAAACACAATGAGTAAATACAGATATAAAGTTATTTATATCTAAATATTATAAATATTGTATAAAATAATAAAAAAGAATATTAATAAAATTAATCTTACTTCTCTTCAATAAGTGCGCGATATGCGTTAGCAGCTTCAGGAAAACATTCTAGCTTCAATAAACATGTAGCTTTTCGTTGAGGTACATATGAAACATATGAAGCTAAAGGACTAGACAGTACATTTAATATTTCTTCATTTTTGTCTTGCAATTCTAAAATCATCAGATAAAGTTGCACTTCCTGTTCTGCTTCTATCTTTCCCTCTCTCACTAATTTTAGGACCTAATGTATTCATAAAAAAATCATTTTAATCATCTTTATAATATTCATTTATGTACAAACCAGAGAACTCTATAACTGGAAAGCTTACCACTATGAAAACAGCCGAGTCGACAAAGAGCATCTAGTAGGGAATTATATTCTTTGTTTCTTTAAGTACTATGTTCTATTATCTCAATCTTCTCAATGCAAATAACACATGCAAAACTGAGAAAATAATCCTGTATGAACTGTCTCTCTTGACTTTTTCATCGAGAATATCCTCTCTTCCTCCTTGTAAGCTTTTCAGTTTTAGAGTTCATTGATATAAACTAATCCTTTATGATTTCATATGCAATTGCAATGGCAACAGTAAATAACAATCAATGCACTAACCATTCTTTCTGCCAAAGGCAAGATAACTCCTTTCGCTAACTTCTGATCAGCATGAATAGCTTGCATTACTATACTCATAACAGCCCAAAAATAATATGGATTTTTATGAGTCAGTTTATATAAATTAAGAGCAGTTTGTTGTTGTTTTTTATAATCGCCAAGGCGAACGTATGACATGAAGAGA